CTCAACAAGATGATGACCATTCTGATGATGGTATGTTGAAAGAGCCCACAAAAAGCGTGAAACCACTCCTGAAAACAATACTATCCAATTGAAGATCATCTTGGTGATGTTGCTGATGTTCCATCTTCAATAGGAGAGTAATTCCAAAATTTACTGTTAATCCAATAAATTCCAAGAAATTATACAACAATGATGGCCAATTCACCCAGTGATGATGATGGTGTATCAGCATGTTGCTGTTGTTGTTCTTGATGTGTTGTGCGTAATAAATTTTGATTTATTTCATCAAAATAAAATTTAAAAACGCTTCTCTCAGTGCTTAATAATAAAGCAACCTCTTCAATTGAAGAAGATGACCATCTTGTGGATGAAAAACCTCTCTAACAAGAAGAGATGAAGAGGAAACCTCGCTGATGATCCTGAGGGTACTTCCAACTTGACAAATACAATAATAGTAATATTTTTGCCATCTCTCCAATCCAATAATCATGTTGAATCAACTCCATACATTCTTGCTGTTGCTTTATATTCAATATAGATGATATACTTGATGATGTTGATGCAGGTGAGTTGTTATTGTATTTTTTTAAGATTCCTTAAATGAACCTTAATACAATACTGACTCCAACTGACAAGAATAAGTGCTTCCGCTCCTACAAAGAATATTCAATATTACCCACTTTATATTTAATAAATTATACAATATCTTGATAATTATATGAACAATATATGATTTTTATTGTCGGAATCATCACTAAATCATGCTACCCATCCAGAAATATCAAAGGGTACATTTCAATATCACTCTATTGTATGAAAGTGTATAAAACTCACCCAAACCCCACCAACCCAAACCCTCGGTGATAATTCAATAATTACTTAGTGAAATCCAAAAGTTGAAACACCAATCGATAGCAAATCATCTCTAGTATGACATATATTTTTTATTGATCAATTTCTGATCATTCTTTTACCTTTCCCTAGGAATAGTAAAATCGCAATATATTGAGTGAGGAATTGCTGATTATCTCAATAATTATATAAGAAACTATACACAATCTATAGCCCACTGGATAGCTGAGATTGTAACCTATTTAATGATGTATATCATTGATTATGTATTTCAGTAATAATGAAGATCCAATAGTACGAAACGATAACCAAACCCAATACTAAAAGCGGGGAAATTTCCGCGGGAAAATTTTATTGAAAAATGACCTCTAATCAGAGGCTATTTTCTCGAAAACTACTTAAAGACAAGACTAGATATTAATATGGTAGATAGAAATAGATGTGTAGAAGGCATAGCTAAAAAATTTTAGGTCGAAAGGCAGGATTTTTGGACAAAATCGTCCGGCGCCAGGTTAACCAAACCCAACCTACATATGGTATCAATTTAAGTCTATTAGAGTTGAATTCAGTATGATAATAATAACAATCTGTCAAATTGTCACATTTCAACATATAAAATATACTCCATCTCATTCATTTTACAAAATATCATACAAGTATCAATATGAATACACTCCTCTTGGTGAGGAGAACAATCTGTGAAAGTTTCATATTGATGGCTCAAAAACTTCAAGTCAACTAAGGAAACATCTAAGGTAATCAATAGGGAAGAATCTTAATTCCAAAATTAAATTTTACCATCATATCTAAATCATTGAATAATGAATTATTGATACAGGAATCATATGTTCAATTGTTATATATAAATACTACCTATTTAGATGATATAATGATGACTCTTCATAGTAACATGTATGTGAAAACATATATTGACACTTTTCATCTTGTTATATTTATAGAGATGGTATCCAACAGAGTCATCTCACAATATTAAATATTGAAACTAGTTCTACATGATATATGTGATGTATAGAAGTATATTTGATGATTTCAATCCAGTATGAAATACTATAGTGGAATTGACACTGTCTAGTCACACTTACATGAATAATAGACCATAGTTTACATTCCATATCAGTCATTTCAGCGAGTTATTGGTCAGTTTCACCACCATTATGTTTCTCACATACTCTAGTGCATTTTATATTTCAAGAGTGATTTCTGTGGAATTTATTATCCAAATACCATATATATATATATAGTAATATCAATAGTCGTTATATACTCAATTCAAGAGTTAATTTTATTTCTTCTTTTTTTCATATAGATTATTGAATATGGAACACGTCTACCCTATTTCCAGACTATAAAAGTCCAGATCTCAAATATGGCAAAATGGCGAGAGGGCAAGTTTTTCTGACACATTCCAAACTTTATTGATTATCTCAATAAATATAGGAAGGTACACCTTCCTGTTTGCAACACATGTAGATCAGACTATTATATATCACAATGGTAAGTTAAAAGATGTTTATTTAACACCTTTTCAAACTTAGACCATGTGCTTAGTTATTACCAACGTTCAGCAATTTGTGGATTGTTGATAGCTGCAAAAATATCGTTAATTCTTGCATCGGTTTGCTCGTTAACCCTTGAATAAATCCATGGAGTGAGTTTCAAATCTTGAATGCTCTCCTTTAATTGTTCGAATTCTTTCAAAACCTGTCTCAATTCATCCTTTGATCTACACATGTACTCTTTACAGAGAATCTTTTGAAAAACTAATCTCGCATCATTATTATATTTTTCAATATAAAATTCCATTGCTTCCAAACACTTATCAGAATACCCAAGAGCAACCATTCCATTCGAAGCATAACAAAGAGAGTCAATGATGGCGTTTGGATCCAAAACTGCTTCAAATCTTTCAACAGAAGAATAGGCATTGACTGCCAATTCATACATACCACAAGCATAATAGCAACCTCCCTTACTCATATACAAATAAGGCTCATTAGGTGATCTTGAATATAATTCAACTTGTCTGACATAATCGACCCCCTTTGCACCGTAAATGTGTCGCAAATCTATTGAAACTCCAGATTCAGCAGCTCTTGCATACACGTTGGCCAATAATAAACAAATTGGTGTGAATTTGAGATCGTTAATTCTTTCAACCTGTTTTTCTGGTTCTTCAATTTCGTGTGAAAAATTAGTCTTTGCAAGAGTAGGAAGTGGCAACTTTGGAATATTTTCAAGATAGGCCAATGCCTTCTCCAAATGATGAATAGCATCTGAGTAATTATTGCGAACAATATTAAGGTCTGACTCTGAACTAGTGAGATTGTTTAAACAAGATGCCTTCAAATAGTGAATATAAATATTCTTTGGATCAGTTTTGATACATTCATCCAAAATATCAATACTTTGCTTTCTATCTCCATCAAAATAAGCAGCAGCCGACACAGCTTTGATAAAATTTCCAAGATGAATTGGAATATTTGTTTCAATATCTTCGAACCAATCAAACTCGTGCTCTGTGAATGTCTTTCCCAAGTAAGAATAAGCATTATCATCAGCATTATAATGGAAAGCTGGTTCATTTTCAATTGGATTTGCAGTAGTATAAGCCAATTTGGCTGATTCATAATCTGAAAAGACACACTCGACATAAGCTCTAAACTCATCGGTCCAATCTGGAAAATCCTTCAATCGATTAAACAAGAATAATGTTGCAGCAATTAGATTTTCCTTTGTGATTGGTCTCACCATATCTCTAATGTTTAGTTTTGGAATGAAAGCTGCATAAGAAAGGGCTGTATTATAAGAAGCATACAAGAAGAGTGTATCGTCAATAGGTGTATCAGGAGGATGAACAACATCAGAAATGGATTCCATGATATTTTCCTCATGGAATTGAGTTCTGATTGTTTCAACTGGGAACCATTCTTGATTTACAATCTTTAACATTAACAACTCAACCTTCTTCATCAAGACATATGACTTCATTCCAACATTTGATTTGAAGAATCTAACTTGCATGTTAACTGGAGCACTACCTGTCGGAAAGGTTTTGTAACAAAAATTTACAATATCACAAACTTGAACAAATAAGTGGTTCGTTTCTAATTGAACAGGAGTAGGATGATTTCTACGATATTCAATAATATTCTCAGTTAATCTCTGAAATTTGTCCTCAAGTAGTTGATAATTTTTGATCAATTCATTCTGTTCTTGTTCGGAATAAACTACAGTCTCTGCTTCTTGTTTGGCCTTTTTCAAATCAAAGAACATTTTACTACTTGTTGCATGATAATTTCTTCTAGCAATTTCAATTATTGAAAATGATGGATGATGTTTTCCAATATTGATCAATGGTAATGTATTAAAAGTACCACCAACAAGAATAGAACCATTCTTGAGAGAGGATCCTCGAGAAGCGGTAATAATTGATGATGAAATAACCTTGTTAGCAAGTGTTTTCATTTTTTTTCGAGTTGGAAATTAGAACGAACTTGCGCTAATTGATTAGATATTGTAACTAGAGTCATACCACCAAACTTTCACATCATCAAAGGCACAATTATTTGAAAGCCGAGACTCTGTAGTACAATTCATCTGTTTCTGAGAAAGAACCTGTCGCTGATCCAAGTGTTTGCTCTGTTTATGAAAGGAGAACCAAAATCTGTTGAAATTGAGGAATTGGAAGTTTCAATTTATTTTTTTATTGTGGTGGCAAGTGAATAGATTCACCATTTTGAAGATTGGCTTTGGATTTCTTTTTCTTTTTCTTTACCTAATGAACTCCAGATCGGCACATCTACTTGGTCATCACAAAAACAGTATCTCAAATTCAAAATGTGTCTCCTTCGGTGTGTACTCCCGGAGTAATTCTACTCCAAATTCCAAAAAATTATACATGTTGTTGTTCTTGATGTTTTGCGTATTTAGGGCTACTCACCAGTGCTTAATAACAAAGCAGCCTCCTCCAATGAAGAGAGGTGTTTCATCAACAAGAAGAGAAGAAGAGGAATACTTGCAGATGATCCTGATTGTGCGCCCCAACTTGACAAATCAAATACAGTGGCCTTTACTTCAGCTTCTTGTTTTAACTCTTCAGCAACTTGCTTCTTTGTGTTTCAACAACTACCGAAATTTTCCATTTGGTTTCTTAATAGTTCGAACAGGTCATGTTACTTGTGCAGTTCCTAGATTTACGTAAACCATTTTAACAATTATGGACCTTATTAGAGCCTGATCAAATAAATAAGTGTTCGACAACGTTCGTGTGGCTTAATCACAAATCCTATTACCATTACAATTCTGGTCCACCGCCCAACCAACACTCCAAAATGTAGAGGAAGACCAAAAACAGTGAGACCATAAGATACTGCCACTATCTTATTATAATACCACCCTCGCTTCCTGGTCCTCTTGGAGCAGTAATGACTCAAACTTTGAGCACCACAATATAAAAAAATGAAAGAAAAGAAACAAGTCACACCCGTTCAAACAAAAATTGAGCGAGAGATTGAGGAAAACCCAAAGAATGGTAGTTCCTTGTCCACTCTACAAATGTGGATCACCAAGGAAGAACATGGCCTTTTTAGTAACGAAGACAAGAGAAAGATTGCATTCTTTGGTTCGATTAAAATGTGGCTAATTTTAATAATTTCAATAATTGTATTGTTGACTGTTTTAATGCTTTCAGCAATATGGTTGAGCAGTTTTATGCCATCAGTGGTTTCTTATAGTTCAGAATTGAGAGATTATGAGTTTAATAATATTATTTCATTTGTAGCACAGTTGATTAGAGAAGTGTCAATGTCAAGCGACAATGCCAAACATTTAATGCTGAAATCACTTGATTTTTCGGATAGAGATCAGATAGAAGTGATGATTTATCAGTTTTATAAGCAACAAAAGAGTTACATGAAAGGAGTTGTTGTCACTTGCAATATTGGTGACAATGAAGGAAGGTAAATACTTTACAAAAGTTTTAAGCTTTACAATATTTCTTTAATTTCTTAAAGACAATATGGAGTTATGGACTGGGGAGGCAAGCAAGCCTTATTCAACATCACCACAAAGGATCAACAACTTTATTATTGTAATAACTTTGATGAACTTGACTATTGCAATAGAAGTTCTATTCCTGACATTCAATTAGGATTTTTTGACTTGACAGTTATGATTACTACAGGAAATACTCATCCCAACAAAGCAACCATGTCTCTAAGTTTCATAGATGCATCACAACCACAGTATACTTTCATTACCATGTATAATTCAATGCCATTAACTCAACCAGATGCAAAAGGAAACAAATTTAAGTATTATCTGGCAATTGACATGTCTGCTGAAACTATTTCTCAATATTTGGCGAATGCAACTTCTAAAATAACTGGTTCTAAAAGTTTTATTATTGAAATGGCAACTCAATATATGATTGCAAGTAAGTTGTACAATGATTAAGGTAAATAGTTTACAATATTGAAGATGACAATTCTAATGCAAGAGTTGCAGTTGTTAATTCAGATGGATCTGTCACAAGACAGACCTTTCTCAAGATTGATAATGATGAAAGAGTTTCTGCTATTGCTCGCCTATTAGAAGAACACTATGGAACTAGTTTGAATATTAAATGCAATACCAAGTATTTAATTACATCAGAAACTGATTACATTTCAATTTACAGATTATGTACAGATACTGATGTTGATTGGTAAGTAACCTAAACGAGTTAGATATAATAATTGTTCAAAATAGGTTGTTTGTGTTAGCAGTTCCTCAATGGAATTACATTAGGTCAATTGTTATTGCTGTAATTTGTGCTATTGTTGGTGCCACATTCATTGTCACAACAGGTGTAGCCATTTCCATCTTCATTTCAGTCAGATTAGTGAAACCATTTTACAATTTGATTGATTTATTCGAAAGTGTTTCTCACATGGATTTGGATAATTTAGAAATTCATGATTCCAAGTTTACAGAAGTGAAACAGTTACAAAATCATTTCAAAACCATGACAGACAGAATCAAACTTTACAGAGCTTTCATTCCATCACATTTACTTTCTCAATTAGATCAAGGAGGATCTAACAATGAAAACAATGGAGGCCAAGATTCAAAGAAGAAGGGTGCTTCAATGGATTCCTATCATAAATCCTCAAAAGCATCCGCTTGGAGTAGAAGTCATACCTCTAGTTCACATCGAAGATATTCGAATGATTTGGACATTTTCTCACTTCACTTGGATAGAAAGAAATTATCCATTGTTGCAATTCATATTGAAGGATTGAATAGATTATTCTCTGAAATATCAGCAGGTGATTGTGTTGACCTGTTGAAAGATTTCTTTGATCATGTGGGATTAGTTTGTCGAACAAGTAATGGATATTTGGGAAATTTTGAAAATGATTTAATTTCAATTTCATTCAATGCAAGTTCAAACCAGTCAAAACATTCAGAAAAAGCAGCTGCAACATGTGTTCAATTAATGGAAAAACTAAATACAACCAAATCAAAGAAATGGCCAAATCAAATTTTGAAAAAGAAACCTCATTTGATTGAAATTGTAAAATTTAGATTTGCAATTTGTGTTCAAGAATCATTATGTGGAAATTTAGGATCGAATGATTTTAAGAACTTCACAGTTATTTCAAGTGCTAGATTCAATTTGGAGTCCATGTTGAATATTGCATCAAAAATGAATTTGAATATTGTTTTATCTGATAGAGTATTTTCAAGTTTAGAGAAACATTATCAAATGAGATATGTTTATACGACAGAATTGATCCTAGATACATACTTTTCATCACCATTTATTCAACACAAAGATAATGAAAAAGCACCAATAGAACCAACACACATTTATGAATTGGGTGAAAGTTTACATGTTGGCATGGATGGTAAGTAATAATTTTGAAAATATTTAAAATATTTAACTATTCTTTTTTAACAGAATGGATGTATGAGTTAAAAGAAAAGGAAAAGAAAGCCAAATGGACCAAATACAATCAAGCTTGCATACTCTTCTTCTCAAATCAATTCGACGAAGCAAAAGAACTCTTCAAAGAATATCATGAACTCAACAATGATGTGGCAGCTGAATTACTAATGCACAAATGTTCCAAAATTAATGATTGATCTCATCAACGCTTATAGATTTCCAAGTCCTTAATTTTTTGAAAATTGGAATGGACTACTGTGCAATTAAAATTGGTGCATAAAAGTTTCACATCTCCTATGAAACCCAATTGTAATGTATATTAGTGAATTTTCATTTGAAATTTTCATCATGTAAAATCACAGTAAATCATCACTATGGTTTTAATCGATATCGTGATGTACTATTAATCACAAAATTCATCCTTCAATATTGTAATAATTCCTTTCAGTTTGTCTATGTTCTTTTTCCATTCACTATTATGTTTTCTAGTATACTGTTCGAGAGTTTCGTTGAATTTTGAAGATTGATCAGTGATAGTGTTTTTGAAAATTGAAATGTTGTTAAGGTATTTCTTAATTACCCTCAATCTCTTCTCAAATAATTCAATAGTATCATGGAAGGGACTCTCTGTTCTCATTTTGTAAATTTCATTATGTAAATAAAAGGTAGATTCATAACTGACAGAAAAGGAAAGTACCTTGGAATAGATGGTTGAATCCTGACAAATGCAGGTCAACTGCTTTTTGAAAGTGTTCTGATTTCCAACATTATTCATCAAATGTTCAAAAATTCTAACGTTCTGAATTGCATGTAAGAGTATATTTGATTGGAGAAGTATAGACTCCATTAATATTAGCCTATTACACAGAAACTCTTTTGAGAATAATGTGAAGTAAAACTTATCAAATAATTCTACCAAGAAATTATCATCTTTCACCTGTAACGCCTTTGTACATACAGTACTTGTCAAACTCTGAAGAATATCAATAACATCCTCATTTCTTAAACTGGCTTTCAAATTCCAACATGCTAATATTAGGTCAATAACTTGTTGGGTATATTTCTCTACTTCTAATTGGAACAATTCAATCTTATCAAAGTAGATTGACAGTATTTCAGATATTGTACTGGAAATTACACTAGATGGCTGAGATGGGAGCTTGGAAACCGTTTCAATAAGCCTTTCAAGCTCTTTAAACTGACCATGTACTATAAATGATTCAATTATGCAATATTTAAATCTTTTGCAATCGCCAGAGAAAGTATTGGTAAACAGTAAATTATTCAAGTAACATGACCTATTCGAACTATTAAGAATCCACCTGGAAAATATCTTATCAAATAGATCACTCGAGCACACAACCTTAATAGTCGCTAGAACTATACTTAATGATTGCATTTGAGAGGAGGACAGTGAATTTTCAACTATGAAATCTTTACTAAATATCATAGTAAAGACATTACCTATTATTTCAGCTTTCTTTTTCCAAGTTTTATCTCGTTTCTTCTTTGTCGCTCGAATAATATTAGAATAGATTTGCTTTGAGATTAAGAAAATACACATTTTTTGAATAATAACCATTGAATATTTCGGATTCTGAGTCAATGAAGGGTATTGAATCAATAACTGATCCAATTTATGTAACTGTTCCTTCCAATTCTCACAATCATGATCCTTACACATCAATTCTCCAAGAATACCATTATATCCACTAAAATATAAAATTGAATTTGATGAAGAGCATTTCACATTAAAGAACGTTTCTAATATGCATTCAGGACTATTAAATCTTGAAAACACAGCAATTATTAATTTTTTGGTAGAAAGTTCATCTCCAGTTTTACATTCCCTAATTAATGAAAGAACTTGATCAGCGAGAATAAACTCTTTTTTAAATTCCTTTTTGTAATGATATTCGAATGAATAGAGAATTCTTTTCCAAATTATTAGAAACTGCCTATTACAATGAATATTAATAAAATTATTGTAAAATAAATCTCTATGTACTAATAGGTAATCTTTTAATTCTTCAAAGAGATTATAAATAGTGTTGGAAACAACTTTTCTCTGAATCATTTCCATTAGTTTCGTTTCATCTTGATCACAAATATCCGAACAGTAGAACTCTTCTGAAATAATAAATTCAAGTATTTTGAAAGTTATTTCTGGCGGAAGTTGAAGTAACGAAGATGAAGCATTATTGCGTAATGACATTTTTTTAAAATTAATTTCTACAAATAATATTATTGTATGGTGATGGTGGGTGAATGATAGGATGAACACCAACTTGAATTTATGTCCATCATGAAAAGTAAATTACAATTTAATGATGATAATCCACTAATAAAAATTACTACTATTACTACTATTTAGATCTTGTTGAGATGATGATATGAAAGTTTGGTGGTTTCATCATGAAAAACCCCTCCGAAAATCAACAAAGGATCATTGTTTAATTTTTTTATTGTGTTTTATTTCTTGTAGGCACTAATTGAAGAACGGAACATTTCAATTTAAAAATAACTTGAAAAAAATAGCAACACAACTTGTTCAATCTTTCTGTTGTGTTTTCCGTTTTTCTATTGCTGTTATCTTTCACTATGAATTTTTCTTTTGGTGGTGGAGCAAGTGGAAAGAAAGTTTCCATGGGAGGATCAAAGAATTTATCCCGAGAGGAAATATTGGAAAATGCTAGAAGAGAAAGAGAGAGGAATCGGCAATCAAAGCTTGAAGAACAATCAGGAGCCTTGTTGGTGAGGGTTGCTAGAAAGTTTTTGAATAGTAGAAAGGAGAAAAATAGACAACGGTTAGCCTTTGATGAATTGGTACAACAATATATGAAATCAGGATTGGATTTGTCGAAATTTATACAACTACTGAACAAACTCTTGTATTTTTATAATCCTAAACGAGATGAAAAGGATTTCAACAGATTGTTGATTATTTTGAATTTTCTGATAAGAACAATAAGAAATAGTTCCGCCATCATTTCTGAAGATGCTGCTCATTTCAAATATTCTAAATTAGCTCGATTAGTATTGGACTTTATTAGTAGAACAAACGACAATGAGTTGGATCTCTCATCAAACAAGAGATTAATTCTTGCGACACAATCACTAACTTGCCTTCTTGATAGGAAGTATTTCACTAATGACTTGAGTTTTGCCAAGTTTTTAGGAAAGATTATTTGTACAAAGGACTGTAACATCATCTCAATTATTCATCAATTTGTGACACATCACCAAGAAAAATCAAAGAATTATGCTGCTAGCATATTGGGATTGACATTGTCAGGTTGTGTATTTGATCCACAGCTGTCACTGTCTTTTTTGTTGGAGCTCTTTTCTCTTCCATTCATTTTTACACACTTTTCTACAAGTTCTCTTCTTCAGATTGATATTGATACATTGTTTTCCAAATTGAATCCTCAAGATGTCATTGAAAAATTCAAATCAGAAGAGAAGGAAAGTAAGAGAAGACTCTATTTTTGTGGAAATTTAATAGAGCTTGTACATGGATTCATGAAAGAGAACAAGATCTCCCCTCAAAGCATTGTTAATTATCTTCGTATTGTAGCTACCATTTTGCCTCAAGTGAACTTTGATTTGATTTCCATAAATGAATCAGTGGTATCTGAAGAAAGTGATGAACAATTTTCAACACTTTCCGATATCAGGCAGCAAGTCGAACTCTTAATGAAAGGTGTTCACCTCAAACGTATCATTGATGCTATTTTGTCAGTGGATGAAAATAAGGAAAGTCTTGTAGACTTTTCAAACATTTTTCTTTTCCTAATGCATGATGAAAGCAAACATACAAGTACCATATTGAATATTATTTCCTATTGTTCTGATGATTTTAAATTAGTCAAATTAATGTGGAGTGCTATCAAGAATGACCTGTTGGAAAATATTGAAATTCTAGCTCTATTTTGTAAAGTATATGACAATATTCTTGCCTTTATGGATGATGAAAGCTTCAAGACAAAACCATTTTCATTGGAGGAAAATGTTCAAATATCAGCACTTCTCATTCCCTTATGTTTTGAGTTGGTGTGGAATAATTCGAAACTCACACTCAAAGCCGGCCTCTGTGATTTACTCACCAAATTACACAACAGAGATGTTAGGCTAAACTTTTGTCCAAAGAATCATTTCACTATAACTGAGGCATCTAATCTTGATATTGAAAAGATTTCCGAGTTTATATTTAGAGGTGATGAAATGGTTGATGATGACTCTCCAATGGTTACAGGGGAATATATTCCTCTCAGATTACAACGAATTCAAGCCTTAAGAGAAGCCATGTCCAGAAAAACATCATCATTCAAAGAGGCTCAGGCATTTAACAAGACGAAAGAGCTTATCGAGAAATTACCCTTCTTAGTACCTTTAGAAATAAGATTAAAGATATTCAAGGAAGTTATTGCAATGGATAGAGACTATTGTTATGATTTACAGCATTTCATAGAACCTATTGGAATAAGAAGGGAACAAATATTTGAGGATTCTTATGCCAAATTGAACAACCTTTCCCCTCTTCAATTGAAAGGAAGAGTAAGAGTGCAATTTATTGATCAACATAACACTGTAGAGGATGGTATTGGCCTTGGCCCATTGAGAGAATACTTGTTCGAATTGAGCAAACTTGCATTCAGCAATAGCTATGGACTTTTCAAAGCAACCGATGATGGTCGTTTATATCCAAATCCTAATTCCTCAATAATTTATCCAGATGGTCTTGATTTGAGATTTTATAACTTTTTGGGGAAGATATTAGGCAAGGCAATTTATGATGCCATTGTTATTGACTTACCATTTGCCAAATTTTTCGTTTCAAAATTAATGAAGGGTAACAACAATGATTTAATTAATGATTTGGCTACATTTGACAAGGAATTACATCGTAACTTGCTCTTTTTGAAAAATAATAATAATGCAGGAGATTTGGGATTGAATTTTACTATTGTGGATGGAGATGAATTATCTGGCAGAATTGCAAGACAATTGATACCAAATGGTGAAAATATTGCAGTGACTGACAGCAACAAACTCTCCTTTATTTTCAGAGTTGCTAATTATAAGCTCAACCACCAAATTAAGAGTCAATCAGATGCATTCATGAAGGGATTGAATGAAATTGTACCTTCATCATGGATTTCTCTTTTTGATGAAAATGAATTTATTGATATTATCTGTGGAAGTGATAGTCCAATCGATATTGATGACCTATATGCCAATACAGAGTATGGAAGTGGTTACAGTCAAGAACATCCAACCATTCAAATGTTTTGGGATGTTGTCTTTAATGATTTGACCTCTTCACAACACGTCTTGTTACTCAAATTCATTAGTTCAATTTCAAGACCACCACTGCTCGGATTTAAAGATATGCACCCAAAGATTTGTATTCAAAGAGTGACTGACACCTCTCGTTTACCAACTTCCAGTACTTGCTACTCTCTTTTGAAACTTCCAAGCTATAGAGATAGAGAAACCTTGAAGGAAAAATTGATTCAAGCCATTGAACAAGGTACTCAATCATTTGGTCTCACATAATATAATTTTTGTAACATTTCTAAAATCAAAAATAAATTAAACCATTGTAAGAAATTAAACCAAAAAAAATACCAGAACGTTCATTCAATGAATCAATCAAACCCCAACATTGCTTGCATCCCTCTCACCGATTTCAATTCATTTCCTTCTTCTCACAATGAAAGTTTCAAACTATTACAATTGAAAATGAAGGAAAAAAGTTTTCATATGAAGTTTGAATATCGGAATTTGATGAAGTCTGATTATGTGAATGATTATTATACGAATAATATTTGTTGGAGTGGAGGAAATATACTTGCTGTAGCAACGGAGGATAAGGCAGTTAATTTGTGGAATGCTAATTTGGGGAGTGTTTGTGAATTGAAACAAGAAAGTGATATCACTACGAGCGTTTCCTGGAACAAGGATGGATCCATTTTGGCCATAGGTTTCAATTCTGGACAAATTCACCTTTGGGACATTGAGAGGACTATTAAAATTGGACAAATTAGTGGACACAGGGACAGAGTGCCAGTTATATCTTGGAATCCAGTTCAAAAGCACTTGATTTCATCAGGATCGGATAATTTTGGAAATATTATGACTCATGATATTCGTTCTGGAGAAGTAATTAGTTCAGTTGCAGGTAACTGTGCAAAAATCTGCGGCTTAGAATGGTCTCCAAATGGACAACAATTGGCTAGCTCAGGTTCAGATAACGAAATCCAAATATGGAAAGTCAATGTTGAACAACCTGAATTCAGACTTCAAAAGCATAACAGCACTGTTAAGGCATTATCTTGGTCTCATAATTATCAATCACCCAAGCTAGCAAGTGGTGGTGGAGTCGGTGATGGAAAGATTTGCATTTGGGAAACCGAAACTGGCAAATTAATAAGGAAAATTAAACACCTCAATTCACGAGTATTTGGATTGGTATGGTCTAAGGTATATTCAAACTTGCTAATTGGTTCGGCAATGTCAAAAAACAATGCAGCAGAAAATAATGCTATTAGAGTATTTGACATTACAAAAGAGGAAGGTGAAGAATTGTTGGTCAGTGATGAAATTACAGATAATAGAATTTTGAATATTGTAGAATCACCAAGAGGAGGATTTGTTGCTGGAGCATATGACAACACTCTTTCGTTTTGGAAAGTTACAAAGGATGGTCTAACACAACAATCATCTATTAAGCATAATAGCTGCTAATACAATGAATAAATGACTAGCTAAACACTCATTCACATCTTCAATCAGTGATTCATCACGTTTGGTATTTTTCACGTTTCATTCGACCTCTAATATGTTCAAAAGCTCTCAAACACCAAAAAAAAAGTCCAGTATGCAAATTACACAATCTCAACAGGATTCATTTCAACCATCTCTTGAACAACAAGTTGATTCTTTGAAAAAGGAAGTTTCCTTTCTATACAGCGTGATTAGAGGTGAAGTTTTGGTTTCGTTTGATGTGGTTATCAATTCTTTCGCCAACAAGTATTGTTCCATGATTATTAGCATGGGAGATTTATCAGATAGTTCAAAATGGGTCTTTACCTTCTACTTGTTTGGAAAAGATTCTGATAAAAAACCTGGAGTTGTTGGTGTTTATGGAAATATAAACGGAAAATTGATTGCCTTGACCAATGACAGTGAACCTTTGAGATTAAATGAGAAACATCACATAGAATGGAGATATAATAAGCACCATGGATCCATTCTTACTGTCAATGGTAATGTTGTTGGTTCTGTTAAGGCATATCAAGGAAATTTGGAATATTCAAGATCTGACAAGATTTCTATTGGAAAGATCATTTATAATGGAGGAGGAAGACAACATTCTCAATTGGATGGATTGGTTTCCAATCTTTCTGTGATTGCAAATGGTAAAATTCATGACTAATCAAAATAAACTTTTATTTCAGCTAATGAACTGCTACAATGACGTATATCGCGTGTATTAGTGCCCCTATGTAAACCGTTAGAATGAGGAGAATAATGTTAATCAAGAGGTGGAAACTGCAGCCAGTCTATAGTTATTGTTTAGTTTCGAATAGAATCAATTTAAACACTTACCTTGATGGCAACAGGTACAGGTGGTAGAAGGATTGCCAAAATGATCAAAATTAAATTGGAGAGAACCATCTTCAACTTCTCAGTAGATTAATTGTTTTGGTTTTTTTGTAATGATAATTGATTCGGTTAGCAAGAAACGAATTGTATTTATTAAAGTTTGATGCTTCTAATAAAGAAAAGGAAGATAAATCAAAGGTGTTAAAAAGTAGTTTATTCATTTTGAGTTGTTACCATAAATAGATAATTTACCAATCTACCACTTTGTAATCTTTGTACAATTTACCATAATCCAAAGATCCTGAAAGGATTGGGTATAAAATTCTGTAGGCAGCATCTTCACAATTTAGTACAGGATCTTTGAATGTTTTGATTGCTGATGAAACCCATCCAGTATCAACACTATTCATCAAAATACCACTCTTGGCAAATTGATTAGCACCAGATCTGGTAAGCATGTTCAATGATGCTTTGGAAGTGTTGGTATGGATGTGATTGTCTGTCTTTCCAGTTGTGTTGAATTGACCTTCGTGAGAACTCACATTAATAATGAAAGAATAGCCCAATGCAAGAGAATCATTTGGATTACTATCGCCATCAGCCTTATCATAGTCAGGTGTCATGACTCCCTGCAAATTTGAAACAATAAGAGTTGGAGCAACATTGTTAATCATTTGAGCCTCTACCAATTCAATAGTCGAAGTATCAGTCAACGATTGATTCCAACTGTTGAGCTTTCTCTTATCAATAAACTCTCCAAACTTATCCTTCTCACTAGTTGGTATGTAAGATAAATCCTCAGGAAGACTTGTCTCTTTGGTGCATCGAATGGTTTGTTCAATCAAATTATTGCTGAGTACTTGCAATTCCTTGACATCCTTATTTTCAGTTGGAAGGGAAAGAGGAAGAGGACTATCACAATTTTTCAATTCAATTTCAATAAGAGGTTGATAATAAGTGACTGGTCTTCGGACGGTTTGAGCTGCATTGTTAATAATGATATCGATATGCTTGAATTTCTTCTTGATAAATTCAATAAATTCCATCACTGATTTACCATCTTTCAAATTTAATGGATAAACAAGTAATCTATCTTTCCAGTCATTAAAATCCTTCTCTAACTTGAACTTGTCAAAGGCATTGTGTGCAAATCTGGAAGTAGCAGCAACAGTACATTTCATTCTAAGCAATAACAAGGCAGTTTCATAACCAATCTTGGCTCTAGCACCTGTTACTATGGCTACCTTATCATTCAAATCTCTACGGAGTGACTTGGCTCTCTCATTGAATTTGTGACATTCCGAACAAAAATCTGTATTTTCACACTTCTTCTTCTTTGTAATATGAGAATACTTTCCACAAATATAGCACTTGTAATACTTGTACTTTTTCATCAAGTGACTATCTAAATAGCCCTCGGTAATGTAAATAGATTGGTTCTTTTGCAACAATTCTGAAATGTCTTTACAAAAATAGTGAACATCATGCTTTTCAATGTGTGTTGCAATTGATTCAATCAATTCCTCATCTCCGTCTACGTTATCCTCTACTTTAACCTTTTTTAAATCATTAATATATCTACCATCTGAATAATATTCCCACAAGCTAGAAAGAACGGTTCTGATTGGATGATTGCAAAACTTGTCAATCAACCAATAGTCTACACTTCTTAAAATGACAGTGTAATAATTGTCTTCATCAATATCTCTATTTCCATAATTTTGTTCTTCGTCTCCGTTGCCATAAATGTGAACAAACATATAAGGTGCTAAATGAGAATATTCATCCCAATTAGAATATCCTGAATAATAAGGATCATCTTCAATAACTTGTGGATCATCATTAAAGTAATGTTCACCAAAGAATTTTCTCAACCAAGTCACAAAAGGTTGAATGTGCAAACGGTGTTGGAGTGGGTGATGAAAGTCAACACTGAAAGTTCCAAAGCCTCTTCTGCTATACTTGATAGCTCTATCATAATAGAGAATAGTTGAAATATGTTCTCTTCCAATAAAATTCATATTGTACTGCAAAGCACGTAACCCTTCCAATATAGTATAGACCTTTTCACCATCAAATGAAAATCTACATGCGTCAATATCGAAAAAACACATAAGCTCTTCAATAGAGGCAACTCTTCTCAAAACAAATTGAACGCCCAACTTATTATCTGGTGTGCTTGAGTCTGGATACTTGTTTTGGAATTTTGTTCGTTCTCCACTAATCTTAGGCATAATGTTGAGTGTACCATTAGTTTTCAACACTCTATACTCGATAGATTCTTCTTTCAATTTCTTTTCAATGATAGCAAGAACCTTCTTGAAAGCAATATCCACACTCTTGTCATCTTCTCCATTATTGATACAGAAAATATCAATATCACATGAACTACACCCAGTAATGCAATGAAGCACAAAACCACCTGCAATAATGAATTTGATATTGGAAGACTTGTTGAATTCAAAGATGATGTTCGAAATTGTTGCAGCCAAAGTGTTTTTCTTGAGCAATTTGTTAATTCTAGTCTTGAATTCATTGAGAGTATTAGCTTCAAATCCTTTCTTTGCTTTGGCAACTTTTGCTTCTTCTTCGTCGTCACTATCCCCTTCTTCATCATCTTGTTCTTCATCTTCGTCATCATTCATATCTTCATCGTCAAATCTTTTCCTTGCTTTTTTAGAAAGTTTTCGTTTCTTCTTTTTTGGAGCTTCTTCCTCTTCATCACTATCCTTATCCTCCTTTTCCTCATCTTCTTTCTCATTATCTTCATCATCTTCATTCAATTTCATATTACGAGAGGCTGGAATATCACATAGCATGGACTTAATAAAATCCTCTCTATTAATTTCTTCATCACCAGCATCCAGAGAAGGTACTTGAATTCTATCAGTATAGGCCTCCTTGTACATTAAATTCTTATCCACAAAGTATTGGTCATATGTCAACATTTCACCATTATTAGAATTGTACAACTCCAATAGACGTGAAAGTCTACTCTCCTTTTTTACTCTTCCATTCAAAAATCCCAATCTTAGCCGATCTAAATTCAATTCCATCTCGGCATCAAAAATTGAATATAAAAGCTTGTTGGTGAGTGCTAAATTTTGTACTTCCTCCTTCCCACTACAATAGTAAAATATTTGTTTGATCAATTCATTCGGCAATTGACCAATCAAACCAGTGCCATCATCCTCACCTCCACGTGCAACAGAGACAGTGGAAAGATTATCGGCCATTTTTTTTTTCGATTCTAAACGCACAGCTCCCATATTTCACTAACAAACCAGAAATTGTAAACGAGTTTATTGAATGTTCTGAGAACATTGTTTGTTCCAAAGATTACAAATATCAACTACAGCTCAATTATTTTTTAATTTGATGAATTGGCGAGAATATGAATTTACGGATAATTTGTAATTTGGAGAAGATCACCACAACAGAAAAAATATTTCATCATCTTTGGTCAGCAACTTTCAACATCGGAATTTGAATAATTTTGTTGTTAGTTTGTGCACTGTTTTTTCAAACAGCATATTATTGGCACGCAGTGTAATACACTTCTGCATCATCTTATTCCAATTTATCATCATTATTATTATTATCAATATTATTAAATATATATATTATAATTTTGGATGTCCTTTAGATTTGGTGGCTCAAAGGCTGCTAGTACAAATAGTTTGAATAGCAATAATAGAGGAGCAAGTGGTTCTACTAATTCTGTAAAAACTCCAGCAACACCTTCCTACCTCAACAATGATGTAATTAATGCTGTTCTGGAAAGAAATCCATTCTATGATTATGCAGATGATTCGGAGGATGAGGAAGTAATTGTTGTGGAGAGCCCAAGTTCTCCAAGTACTACATATATTATGCCTCCTCCTGGAATGAAAGCAATTCCGAAGAAGGAAGAGGAAAAATCAAAAACTCAAAAACCTCCCTCTCACAGTAGAACAAACTCTGCAAATTCTGTAAATTCTGGAGTTATCATTACTCCTAATTCAGCAGGAACAGATCATAGTAGGAGTAGTTCATCATGTTCTGATAAATTAAACTTTTCCGATGTACCCATGTTGGATGAGAATGAGGTGAAATTAGGAATAGAGGATACAACGAAAACAAGATATGGACAAATGACCACAATATTTAATAGAAGAAATAATGAAACGAATGAGGATTTTAATGATGATAGAGATATTGGATTGCAGACACCACCAACAGTACAAAAGAAATCAGCATTTAGTAATTTTAACATTTCAACAAGTGCCTCATTTGACCAAATTAATACTTACACAATGCTTAAAATTCTGCACACAGCTCACGATTTTGAAATGAAAGTGAAAGAGTTAAAGGAACGAGGACTTGCCACTGTTTCCAGTGGAGGAAGATTTGATATCAAGAGGTTATTTAAAAAGTACACTGATTTCGCAGCACAGAAATATGTGTGGACATTCTTGAGTATTTTAGGGCTCTTGGGAGGTTTGATTGTCTTTGTACAGGATATTGTTATAACATATATGGAAATTGGGAGATGGGAACTAATTGAACAATTCAATTACATAACAGATGAAACGTCAAGAAATGCTGTCAAGATGGTAATGTGGGTCTTGTATAATATTACCTTTATTATATTTTGTTTATTCATGACTGCTTGGGTCGCTCCAACTGCTGAAGGAAGTGGTGTTCCAGCAATCAAAGCAATTTTGGTATGTTTATCATGATATATTTCAAATTTATTGATAACAGAAACTGATTCAATATTTCAGACTGGTGTCGATTCACTCAAAGATCCAGTAGCATTTAAAACTTTATTTGTAAGAGTATTTTGTTTGCCTCTAGTGATTGGAGCGAGCATGTTTGTAGGTCGAGTTGGTCCTGTAATCACCATAGGAGCTTCACTGGCTGATAATTTACTGAAATTGAAAATATTCAAAGGCATTAAGGATAGTAAGACCTTGAGAGCTCAAATGATTGCCTGTGGTTGTGTAAGTTGATTTTCTCTTTCTGGTTGTTGAATGAACTATAATTTCATTAGGCCATGGGTGTTGGTGCAAACTTTGGTACACCTGGAGGTGGTGTATTACTAGCTCTGGAAGCTATCGGTACATACTATTCATTGAGAACTTATATCAAGTCTTTCTATGTGGCCGTAGTTGCTGCTCTTACTTCTCGTCTTTTACACGCTGCAACTGATGGCACTATTTACTTGTCATTTGTTTGGCACATTAGATTTTCATTGCCAGCATATACCATTCCAGATTTAATTTCATATGCACTTTTAGGAGCATTCCTTGGACTTATGGGCGTAGGATTTGTTTTTATCAATGACAAACTTCTTCGATTGAGAAATAGATTTGGAGGATATTATTTGGGATTTTTCAAATTTGGAAAACTGAATGGAAAGAAATACTTGTATCCACTCCAAAATATTTTCCTTTGGTCTGTTTTGATTGCAATCATTACTAGTGTTATAACATTCCCTTATTTGTTTGGAAAATTCATGTCACTTTCTGTTAGTCAAACATTGGAAAGCTTATTTTACGGACAACAATTACTACCAGAAAATGGAGCAATTGGAGCATGGATCAGTGAAGGAACAAAAGGTGTAAATTATTATAATGAGCTTTTTGCCCACTTGAGTATTTTCCTCGTTTTCAGAATTTTGCTTAGCTTTATTTCAGTTTCCTTACCAATCCCTGCAGGTATTTACGTACCTCTCGTTGTTATGGGTGCTGGTGTTGGTCGTTTCTGGGGTGAAGTGATGCACTTTATGTTCCAAAATGGATACACCAATTCAGAATATGCTATCAATGCTGGAGGCTATGCAATTGTTGGTGCTGTTGCCCTGTCTGCTAGTGCTACTCATGCTTTTAGTACAGTATTTATCTTATTGGAAGTGGCTGGTACTGGAGTCTATTTACCCTCTCTAATGGCAGCCATTATTGCAGTCAAGATTAGTAGATCCTTAACTTTGAACATTTATGATTCAATTATCAAACTCAAAGGTTGGCCAGCATTGTTGGAAGCACAAACGGACAATGATAATTTCACTGTTAAGGATATTATGAATTATGCAGATTCTTTAATAGTTTTTGAGGAAAATGCTTCATTTAGTGAGTTGGAAACTATTTTAGAAAATAGAAAGGTTCTGCCAAAGACATTCCCAGTTGTCAATAGCAAGAAGGATATGTTCTTATTGGGTACTATTTCTTTAATTCAATTACAAAATATTTACAATTTGAAAAAGCAAGCAATCGAACAGGAGGAGTCTAGCCACAGTAATAGTGGTAATACTCAAGAACATCCAGAACATCAAGAAGAAAAAGAGAATTTGTCAACCAAACTCTTGTCAAGAGGTGAATCATTATATTTTGGGTGGGAGCCTGCCCTCACTGAAGAAAATCAAAATTCCAATCACACTATCGAGTTACAAGACAATAATAATCCAAGAAGTGAAAGGATTTCGCTCGATTATCAAACATGTCCTGTTGCCATAAGTGAAGATACACCAGCCCTCATTGCTCACCTTCTCTTCTCTCAATTGAGAATTGACGATTTGTTTGTTGTTTGGATGGGAAGACTTATTGGACAATTACATAAGGAAGTTTTAGTCAAGAAGGTTGTCGAAACTGCAGATGATGTTCGACTTGACATTTAAAGTTCACTATCTTTTAAAAGAGGATTTGGACCAAGCTATAATATGTGAAGAAATTAATATATTAATGTACAATTATAGGATTTGACATGAATTACCAACTTGTCTTCTCTTTACACTTCTAGTATTCTTCTTAAAATCAGCTGTTATGTCCTCCAACTCACCAGTATCACCTTGTAGCTTTTCCACACGTTCTCCTCTCTTTAAAACTTCATCAATATTATTCATCATACTATCCTTAACTGTCTCAATCTTTTCCTCCATTTGTGCAATCTTATCCATCTTGGTAGGATCTGTATTGTATTGCTTAACACAGGCCAAGATGAATTTTGAAACTCTTCCTGGTTGTTTCTTATCATTAATACATGTAAATTTATCTTCCAAAACTCTGAGAAAATCCGAGAGCACTCTCAACTTGGTTCCCTTCTCTGCGGCCACCACATAAATTACCTGCTTGGAGACCACATAGGAATATTGAATAGGACCATGTGTGATGGCTTGCTTTTGATCATCGGTCTTTGATGATGAAGAAAATAAACACAAAGGCAATACCTTCTTGGAAATGGTCGTGCTTAATTCACTCGATTTTGGACCCTCTCCGAGAAGAACTGGATTATCTGAAGATTGAAATTGGTAGATGGCTGCATAGAGAATGGACATTTTTTTATTAAGGAAAAGTTCCCTCACAATATTTCATCTAGGAGAGGTTTTCACTGATTCTGATTCAGTTTTTAAACTTATTCGTTGATTGTACAAGGAATAGACAAAGAAGTTTCACTCTAGTCCATATAGAAATTCCAATAAACTGCTAATAAAGAACAATCAATTTACTTTTGAGAACGTTCAACCAATTGTTTAGCAATTCTCTTGGCCTTTTCGTGTGAAATACCCAAGTGAATTCTAATCATTCCACTATTATCAACACCTGGTGGATAGAAAATGCTGGCAGGAGAGACACCAACACCCAATTTAAGAGCTTCAACAACAGCATCCAAATCAGAAGCAGATTCATGTTGGAATAAAGCATACATGGAACCACTTGGTTGATATAATTTCCAACCCAAACTCTTTGAGAAAGCTTCCTTCAAAACTTCCAAGTTATCAAGCATCAATTGACCTGTTTCTCTAACATGTCTAGCAAAATCTGGCAAATCATCCTTCAAATATTCACCCAAAGCATGTTGGAAATATGGAACACAAATGTACAATGGATCATGAGTACGCATCAATGAATTAATAACATCTTGATGAGCAATAACATAACCACAACGCCATGATTGACATCCCATATTCTTTGAGAAACCTCTACAGACAATAACATTCTTCAAAGTATTCAAAATTTCATCGTTAGCTTGTGGACAATAAACAAAATCAATGGTAGTCTTTCCATTTTCATCCCTTCTCCAAACCATGTCACAATAACATTCATCCAACAAGACATAACAATCATATTTGGCACACAAACGAACAAGTCTTTCCAATTCATCCTTTTCATAGACACGAGTAGTTGGATTACCTGGGTTACAAATCATTAAACAGTCCAACAATCCCTTCTTTAAATAATTTTCTTCAATATCATCAAAATCAATATCAAAGTTTGGAGCAGGACCTAATTTAATGAATCTGGCATGCTTTTCCAAAGCTTCTTTAGTATTACCAAAAACACTTTCAATATCACGCAAGTGATAAGTATAGAATGGTGTCATTAATCCGATTTGTGATTTACCTTGTTCCTTCAACCACAACAATGTAGAAAGACATCCAGCAGTAACACCTTGAACAGCCAAAATGTTATCAACTGTTAAATTCTTCATTCCATAGTGATTATGCAACATGTTCAACAAGCCTTCTCTATAAATTGGTTGACCCATACGTAATCTATATTGATGGACAGAATCATCCATAGTAATATGTTGAAGCAAACCTCTCAATTTAATAGGAGGAGCCAATTCAATCATACCTTGCGCAACAGAATCTAATCCATTCTTTTCGCAATAATCGAAAATATCTCTCATGGTACTTCCCTTTGGAAGAACTGGTGGTGCGGAGGAAGACATATTATGATGAAGATGACGATAAAGGGTGATGAAAAATATTCCACAAAAAATTCGGTTTGAGGTTTTTTCGCTTTTTTTTCAACGAGTTTTTTTAAATTTTTAATTTTTGAAAATTATCGAAATAATTTAGAGTCCGAATAAGAAGTGGAAACTATGAAGAGAAGTGTGGAATTTTTCAATGTGAAGGATCATTTACAATTGGATGCAGAGGTGGATGTTGTAATGCACATGTGAAAAAAGACATGCTGAGTTCTGTGTGATATTTTCAATCATTTCCATATCGAGATACTTTGATAATTACTGTTGCAACTGAAACTTGGAATCAAAAGGAGTGGGATAGGAATTCAAATGGGAAGATTACAAGATCTTCATTCAATGAAAGTTCAAATTGGATACAAAATCTTCAAACAAATTAAAGGAAAACCAAAATGTTGCAATCTCAATTGTTGCCATCATTGTTGTTAATAATACCTTTAATAAGATTGTCAGCAATCTATTCAGCAAACGAAATATACCAATACAATATGGGTGGCAGAAGTCAGGAAGATTGGATTGCTGTGAAAAGAGGTCTACCTGAGCCTTCTATCACTTTTTTCGTGAAGAATCCAAACATTAATTATTAATTGTTATTGCGCTTTTCATAATTTTTAAAGAAACTTTAAAGAAAATTTAATAGTTTATATTTGCATTAACTCGAAATTCATAATGTACCTTTTCAATAACACTACGAAAAAGGTTAAATTGGAAACATGGCAACATTCACATTTTACATCTCAACTGTAATCGAAGAATCATTTTGTTCTTGTGAGTCTACATTGTCTGTGGCAATTGTGTTTTCGTTTTGTGTATCCTTGTCCTTTTTCATTTTCAATAGTGCTAAAGTTATTGGATCTAAATCAGAATTGGAATTATCATTTGTTGCTGGGGAGGCAAAATCAGATTGGTCAGTGGCAGTAGTTGGTGTATCTTCAGATGCTGTGCTGTCATTTCTTTGCTGTCTTTGATAGTACGACTTTCTTCTACTTTCCCTAGCACTCATGGCTTTACCTGCAAGTGCTTCATTTGATAAATTGTTATTTCCTCCAGTGAGGTGTGAAAGATTACCCAGACTGAGTACATTTTTGTTATCATTTTGAGCTCTTAGCAACCATTCAATATTCTTGGTCGAGTTCATTTCCTCTTCTGTTAATGGTTTAGATGGTTCTTTCTTTTCCTCCTCTCTGAAAACTATATCATAGAATTGAACCATAAAATAGAAAGCCAATACATAAGGTGATGTTCCACATATACTGTTATTGTTCCAGATGATGAAAGAAGATTGTTGCGATAATTTCATTTGAATAGGATCAAATGTTATTGAAAAATTATGTGAAAAATTAAAACATACCATTTGAGTAAATTGTCAGTTGTCATCTTGTTAGATTTCTCGTATTTGATTATCAGTCTAAAGTGTTCACACAGAGCTTTCAAAGTATCTCTATTAGCTCTTGGTACTCGAAGTAAACTTGTCCTCACTGATTCAACTTTTTCTTCCTCTGTTGCAAAATTCTTCAAATGTGAAATGGAAAATTCAGGAGCTGTTTGTGATGTAAATAAATGATAATCTCCAGGAAGCTCTCTCAAGAACAATTTAATGAGACCAGCCACATCATGAGCATCATGTTTAATCTATTGTTGTGATGATGTTCATTGTGATTATAATGATGATAATGAGAATATTATACTTTCGAATAAATACTTACTCCGTGATGCACTATATCAACAGTAACTCCATTTTCTTGTGCTTCCTTTCTCTTTCTATCAATTTCTCGATTCTCTGCCAAAAAGTCAATGGACTGACCTTTATCAAATACTTCTCTATATTCTTTCATTTTCTGTGTATCTCCAGGTATACGATAGACACCTTGTTCAAGAAGAGATGAATAGTAATTTAAAAATCTAAGACATTGACGTAATACTTCCGGAATGAATAAAGTTTCTAGATTGGCACATACTTTCTCTATGGCTTCTATTTCTTCATCACTTGCCAATGGATGTTTATATTCATTCTTCTATTAAAATCATCATTCATAATAATTAAAATCATCATCATCGTAATCAATTACGATAACAATAACAATAATATCAAAATAATAAAATTCTATTAGAACACTTGAAATAATAATTAAATTAACATACTTTTTCTTCCGAAATACTTTCCTGAGGAGGAGGAGGAGAACTATCAGCAGCAGCAGCGCCTGATTCTTGTTGTTTTTTCTGGAGTAACATTTTGAGAATTAATTTACAGCTTCTCTGAACCGCCACACTCACATCAACACCAAAAACAATAGACGAAGAAGAACCAGTATTGGCGCCAAAAGTTACATGATGTTGTTGTTGCTGATTCGAAGGAGTGAGAACAGAATTGTTAGTCGACGCGTTGGGTGATGATGATGTGGTACTATCTGTATTGGTATTGGAAATTGTTGTTCCTGTTGCTGTGTTTGGATTTTGATTATTGGAGGGTGGAGTTGCTGTTGTTGTTGTTGTATTATTATTAGTTGATGATGAATCATTGGAAAGTTGACTCTGATGAAGGCTATTATTATTATTAGTATTGTTATTATTATTATTATTCATATTAGATGTAGTAGTAGTATTATTATTATTCTTAACCGACGTTTCATCAACATAGATATTAACTCTTTGATTTGGTTTTACACTGGAAGAGGATTTTGCAGGAGGACCTTCATCGAGGGAATTTCTCGACACGGCTAACAAACCACCTTTTCCTCCTTCCTTTGATTTTCCATTTCCCATTCTCTTATGATGTGAATATATCCAATGGTTGTGTTGGATATGATGATGTGTTGTTGAAAAAAGATTATAATTTAAAGATGAAGAAGAAGAAAACTATCTCTTGTTACGGATGACTTGGTTGTTTTCTATCGTAATTTTGACAACTTTGATGTTGGACAGATGGGTGATTTTTTTTGACTGTTCGATTGTTTTAATGACGACGTCAAATGTCAGTGTTTGGAAATAGGTTATGTTTGCTCTAAATTGTGTGATCACTTAAAAAAAATCAACAGCGCTTCAGTGATCTTCACACAATGACACAGAAAATTATCATTTAATTTCATCAACAATTTAAAATTCAAATTCTTCTTTATGTAATTCGAAACGACAATCCATATCACTACATGACCACACAGCATTATGAACAGAATTCATCATTGAAGAAGGACCACAGGCAAACACTGAAACGTAAGGGAGCGATTTTGATTGATTGACTTGTGCTTTCACACCATTCAAGTAATCAACATAATTTGGTCTTGATCCTCTGATAAACCTTCTATCTGTACTATGGTCAATTCCAGTACTTTGCCCTTTTTCTAACATTTCTATAGATTTGGATGGTTTAGTTCCTGTTATGTAGAATGTGCAATCTACATTTGGTTTGTGTTGGACCAGTATTCTAAAGTGCTTGAGAATTGCTTCATTTCTTGAAGTTAAATTCACATAGACTTTGTAAGGAGTTGGTTCATTATATTTTGGATCTTCCAGAGCTGTAAGGATAGCATTGGCAGGAGTGGCTCCAATTCCAGCAACGATAAAGACAATGGTTCTCTTTTTATCTTCACTTCTGGAGAGGAGACTGTCATTGAAGAATGGAATGGAAAGATTTCCGTAAGCTCCTTCAACTCTAACACCATGATATGAATCGATTGGTTTGTTGGATTTTGCAAGATTGGCCAATTTGGTTGACCAAGAACCTCCTTCCATTCTTTTGATGTGGCATGTGAATCGGTAATGGTTACTATCTGCAAGTTTTTCACATGAGCTAATTGTCATTGGATGGAGTTGATAAATGGAAACTTGTGGAATGTAAACAAAAACAAAATGAGCATGATTTGGATTGTGGAACAGGGTCAAGAATCTCTTTTCGAATACACAAGTGGTCACTTCAGACTCTTCATCATAGGATATATGGACTAGTTGTGTATGAAGACCAAATCCAATAATTGCTCTTAAAGTCCAGTCAATTACCATTAAAATAATAGAGAATGCCATGTATGGAAGTAAATTAATCCAACCTTCACCATGAATAATTGAGAATGTGACTGTGATAAATGTCAATGGAATATGGAAAACCAAAAACAATTCATATAATTTTCTTCTGATTGGCTCCATTGAAAATAGCAATAATAATCCAAGAGCTAGCCATGCAATAATTCCCAACAATGGATATCCATCCTCCACTGAAAACATGAATGGAATGTTATCTTTAAATTCGATGAATTCCACTATACCATGAGCAGTTGCAGAGAGGAAAACCATGACACCAATCCATTTATGGAATTTGATTGATCTTTCGAATGAAATTCCAAATAATGCTTGTAAAACTGAATATCTTGTCACTGGAATGAACAGGAAAATATAGTTAAATACAATCACCTTTGCAAATGCAGACGAAACCTTTTGACTTTCCAAATATCCATAAACAAACCAAATAACATTCAATCCAGCATATACTAAAATGATAACCAACTCACCAAGAGTCAGATCAAGGAATTGATTCACATAGGAAACTAATGGAAAATCATATGGAATAACTTTCGAAACCTTTCTGTACAGCAAAAAGTGAGTAAAGATATTAGATTTGACAGAAGCTGGTAAGATAGTGGTAATAATTCCTAATACCATTAAGGAAAATACAGCAATTCCCAAAGCATACAAATGATACAAGTGCTTCTTTGAATCTCCACTGTCATGGTCATCATCATTGTCTCCTTCATTGTCATCATTGCCACCATTATTATTACCACCTCCATTATTATTGTTACTAGTTCCAGAATTAATCATACCAGTTGAGTAGGTTTCAGTTGGCGAGACAGAAAGAAAGTTGATGGCAATATTTCTATCATAGGCCGTGTGAGTTGACCTAATTGAAGTCGAGGATGAATGATAGGCCCAACTCACATAAACATTTGAATTCTTAAAGGTTGCATCCTGTGAATCTCCAGTGCTCATCTTTCTACTCCACCTATAATGATACTGTCCATTCACAACTCCACCATTAGTTTCCAAAAGTCATTAGAACCTCCATTGTTCGAGTCGATGGTTGGAATGGATTTCTTATTGGTGCAATAACAATCCTGAACATATGCAGCTCCATTGGAAGTATAAGCAAACAAGGTATCAATACTTTGCATACCTTTTCCAAATGGATGGTCAAATCCAATGGAACAGTAACCTGCTTTTGTGCAAATTAAACCAAATTCAAGAATGGGATTGGAGGCATCATTGGGATTTTTCAAAACATTCCAGTAGAGAGTCATGGTAGAGCCAAGTTTTACTGATTTTTGATAGGTACATTTGGACACATCATTTCCTGCACTGTTCAATGCCTCAACATGTTGTATATGAGTGATATTTATCATGAATATTATCAAACACATGACAGTTAATTTTAATAATCCTCTTTCCGAACATTTTTGTGTTCTATTTGATGAAAGAGAGTAGTTAACACTCTCTAAATGTTTTATTGGATGATTCTGCTGCTGCCTTAATATCCACATGTGTGAAAATCCTATTCAATGGTTGTGTTAAAGATTTTTTCCAGTTGTCTTCTTGGTTTTGAGGAGAGGAGGCCATGCAAAACGCCAATTTTTAAAAACACCAGCGCAATTTACAATGATTCATGTGGAATAATGGAAAATAAGAAGATTAAAAGGGAAGGATGCATCCTTAACAACATATTCTTGTCGTAAAAGTTCCAAAAAAGTCCATATTTTTCAACAACAGAGGAAAAAACTTCCTCTTGGAATTCCAAGATGCTTTTATTACCTTAAAACAAAATAGTTTATAAATTAAAATTCAAATTCTTCCTTATGAAGTTCAAATCGACAATCCATATCACTAGCTGAAATTACAGCATTATGAACTGCATTCATCATGGCTGCTGGACCACAGGCAAACACTGAAACGTATGGCTTTGATTTAGATTGGGCAACATATTGTTTCACCTTATGAAGATACTCTTCATAGACTGGTCTTGATCCCTTGATAAATCTTCTATCATTACTATGATCTATTCCAGTACTTCTTCCCTTCTCTAGCATTTCAATCTGATTGGCATTGTGAGATTTTGATTTGGAACCAGTAATATAGAAGGAACTTTCAACATTGGGTTTTTGTTGAATAATTTTGGTCAAGTGAGGAAGGAGAGCTTCATTTCTCATTGTAAAGTTAACAAAGACCTTGTAAGGAGTTGGTTCATTATATTTTGGATCTTCCAGAGCTGTAAGGATAGCATTGGCAGGAGTGGCTCCAATTCCAGCAACGATAAAGACAATGGTACGCTTTGGATCTTCTATTTTTGAGAATAGTCCTGAATTGAAGAATGGAATGGAAAGATTTCCATATGCTCCTTCAACTCTAACGCCAAAATATTCATCAATCATTCTTTGACTTGGCTAGGTTGGCCAATTTGGTTAACCAAGAACCTCCTTCCATTCGTTTGATGTGGCATGTAAATTGATGACTACCATCATGCAACTTAACACATGAACTAATTGTCATTGGATGGAGTTGATAAATGGAAACTTGTGGAATGTAAACAAAGACAAAGTGAGCATGATTTGGATTGTGGAACAGGGTCAAGAATCTCTTTTCGAATACACAAGTTGTAACCTCAGCATCTTCATCATATGAAATCTGAACCAACTTGGTTGGAACGCCAAATCCAATTATTGCTCTCAAAAGAAAATCCACTACCATTAAAAAGAGTGAGAATGCCATATATGGAAGTAAATTAATCCAACCTTCACCATGAATAATTGAGAATGTGACTGTGATAAAGGTCAATGGAATGTGGAATACCAAAAACAATTCATATAATTTTCTTCTGATTGGCTCAAGTGAGAATAAAAGAAGCAATCCAAGAGTCAACCAAGCAATAATTCCCAGTAATGGAAAACCATCACCAACCGAGAATATATATGGAATATTGTCCCTGTACGCAATAAATTCCACTATACCATGAGCAGTTGCAGAGAGGAAAACCATGACACCAATCCATTTATGGAATTTGATTGATCTTTCGAATGAAATTCCAAATAATGCTTGTAAAACTGAATATCTTGTCACTGGAATGAACAGGAAAATATAGTTAAACACAATTAATTGAGTAAATCCAGAGGCTACCTTCTTTGCTGTAGAATCATCAGTTTGAGTAAGAAATCCATAAACAAACCAAACAACCTTCATAGCCAAATAGACAATAATCACCAATACTTCACCAATTGTCAAATCAAGGAATTGATTCACATAAGAAACTAATGGAAAATCATATGGAATAACCTTGGAAATCTTTCTATAAAATAAAAAGTGAGTAATAATGTTGGATTTGAAAGCAGTTGGCAAATAAGTCACAATTAATCCAGCCATGATTAGTGAAGCAATACCAATGGCAAGGGCATAGAGATGGAACTTGTGTGTAAGTGGAGCTACTAGTACTTGTTGAATTTGAGGAAGAAGAGGATGAACTACTAGCTCCATTATTAATCATTCCTTTCACATAGGTTTCAGTTGGTGTATTGGAAAGGAAATTAACTGCAATATTTCTTCCATAGTCGGTGTGAGTTGAAGAAATTGAGGTAGAGGATGAATGATAGGCCCAACTCACATAAACATTTGAATTCTTAAAGGTTGCATCCTGTGAATCTCCAGTACTCATCTTTCTACTCCATCTATAATGATACTGTCCATTCACAACTCCACCATTAGTTTCCAAAAAGTCATTAGAACCTCCATTGTTCGAATCGATGGTTGGAATTGAATGCTTATTGGTGCAGTAACAATCCTGAACATTGGCAACTCCAGAACTCACAAAAGCAAACAAGGTATCAATACTTTGCATGCCCTGCCCATACGGATGATCAAATCCAATGGAACAATAACCTGCCTTTGTGCAAATTAAACCAAATTCGAGAATATAATTGGAGGCATCACTAGGATTCTTCAAAACATTCCACTTTAAAGTCATGGTAGAGCCCAATGAGACAGAACTCTGATAAGTGCACTTGGATACATCAACTCCCTCACCATTCAATGCTTCAACATATTGAGAGAAACCCAACAGCAGCATGATTGATATTAATGCAACCAGCATCATCAAGCTATTATTTACATTCTTCTTCATCTTTAAAAATCCTTCCGAGTAGGAAGAAGAAGGAGTTGAATCATTATTCCTTCTTCCTTGTTGTATTGCATGAACCTTAAAAGTTTCTCTTTTCATTGGTTTTTTTGCTGATTGGAAAACGCCACTTTTTTTTCTTGTTTGTTTTTTTTACTGAAAGAAGATGTTGGTTGCAACGACACTTTTGAGGTTGGCGCCAAAAGTTCCAGCTTGTAACTTATCTCATGTTCTATCAGGCGGTTCTAAACAATTAACATTTAAGGAGGTGGAATTATTGCGGAATTGGAATTAGATTCTGAAAGTTGTGCAGTTGGATAGGGAAGGAAATGATGCGTTCGAAAGAGTTTCAATGTTCTGAATATCATATGTCCACTGTATGACCATGGGTTGTTTCAATGTTTGTGCAAAACACAATTTTGTACCAAGATTATTTTGGACATACTTCAATAGTGAAAATAACATAGAAATTGCTGTTCGTTATTGCACAACTTGGAAGAAGATTTTAGTTGGTGTTTCTATATAATCTCTTCAATTTATTTACAATTTTCTCATTTTTACAATTTAAATATTCAACAAAAGCTTGACCTCAAAAGAACTTAATTCAAATTTCCCGCCAACATTTTGAAAAACCTCCAAAAAACCTTAAAAAAAATTCTCAATCATTCTCATCACAATGTTTTCCTTTTCCAATGATAAAATATCACAAGTTAGTACTCCTAGTAAAACAATTCATCCATCCAAGTTATTATCAATGCAGTCCATGTTGAATGATGCCTTTATTGGCTCGCCTCCAACCTCAGAAAATACTTTTATTCTCTCTAAAAGCTATCCGAAACCCTTTGAACAAAAAGTAGATTTCCTCAAAGCCTTACTTGATAATGAATATCTGACCATGTTTGTTCAATTTAGCGCAGAGTTTCAAGTGTTGAATCCGTTAATAACCGAAATTAGAGTTTGGATTTCGGATTTGAATTCATCACGAACAAGCTTTCATCTTCTCTCCTGCTTACATTTAATTCAACAAATATTTGGGCATTCTGGACAGGTTGAAAATCATTTAGATTTTCAACAAGTTTCTTCTTCGTGTGGAATCTCTGGTTTTCTATTCGAAAAACAATTAACAGAACATGAATTGTTCGAAATGTACTTTACCTTGAATGAAAAGGCAACAAACTCTATTCAAGCACAATTTTCCTTTTTGAAGAGTTTCAAATTCATCTACCTGTTCAATTGCATTGGAATTGAAAATCAGGAAAATTCAAGTAATGAAAAGTTTGAATTCATTCAAGAATTGGAATTGGATTCAACCCGTGACATTTGTACATTAATTATTTACTTATATGATTTCATTGGCAGAAGAAATAATCACGATGTGGATTATTTGTTGAACTTGGCCAATTGTGCAGAAGTTAGACCTTGGAATGAATTCAAATTTGGAGAACGAAGTATCATTGAAACGAGCACAACTTTGAATAATTCACTTCTCTCTCCAACATCACCAAAAACTCCAACACCGAGAAAGAAGGGAATTGTCAAGTCAGGCAAGATGAAATCCAACAAGAAGGTCATCTTTGTGGATTCTTCAGTGTTGAACAGTCCACAAATTGATAGAGTTCTCAGAGATATTACCAATATTAAATTGTAGTGTAAATTAAATTTCTTTAATATGTTAAATTTTCAGAAATTTAACAATCTTTCATTGCTGTTTTTAATAACACATAGAAATGAGATCCCTTGGAAATTAGCATCAGCACATACACTTGAAGAAGAAACATTGTTATTTGTGAGAGTAGGTTGACCTGTGGACGTACACTAAAAGATCCGGGAGGATGCATTGAGTTGTGAACAACACAATATTTCATTCAAATAGCTCAACTCTTTGTAAAAGAGAAAAACTCACACAACAAAACAAAATGCAACCACTCATTCTCTACAATCCTGTCCTTCAAGGATTTGTCTATAATGTCTTTCTCTTAATGTTTCGTCTATTCATTGCTGCTCAAATAACAGGTATTTCTAAAATGATAGATGCCATGTCGACTAAAAAGCAAAAACAAGCACTCAACAATAGCAATTACTCCCTCGAAGATCAGAAACCATCCTCATGGGCCTCTCGTGCCGAATTGGCTGGCAACATTCACAGAAATGACATTGAAAATGTTGTGCCATTCATCATGATTGCAATTCCATACGTTATCATCTCTACAATGAGTTATACATCAATCACCGATCCTCAATATTCCTTGTGGAATGCCATTGTGGGGAATATTCTGATGGCAAGCTTTACCCTCTCTAGAATGGTCTACTTTTTCATGTACTGGTTCAATTTGCCTCCATTGAGAACATTGGTTTGGTTATGGGGATTATTGAGTACTGTTTGCTTGGCCATTTATACCATCGTGTGTATGTATGTCTTGTAATAATAAATTATGCATTTTCATCCTAGGATGATGATGATTAAGCAAAAAAAGATAAAATTAATAAAATTTCAG